GTGTATTTAAGTGTTCCATCTGTCACAGACATCTCCATTAAAGGACATGATTGCCAGTCGTTTTGTGTTGATCTCTGTAAGTGATTCCCGCTTGTCTGTGAGCAGAGTCTTGTATTTGCTGAAACTCCTCTCACAAGTCAACAGAGCTGACAGGAAAGTAGATGTAGGGGACAGCAACTTCTGCAACCTTTGGGAATCTCACACTCAGGCCTCTCCAGTATCCATCAAGATCCAAACCAGCTGCAAGAGGCTCCCTGGACACAGARCGTTGATAAGCAGTCCACTGTTCATACAACTCTGCTGATGGGTTTGCACGTGTTTTCAGCTGTGTGTAAGGCTGAATGTTGTTTTCCATGGCTGGAGCCTGCCTGGGATCAAACACTCGAATCAGCTTGTAGACTTCTTTGGCGGGGTGTGTGTCCCAGTGTTTTGAAAACTTTGTGAATGCCACATGGAACGCATCATGAAGATTATCAAGCGCTTTTCTCTTCTCTGCCATGGACATCTTGTCAAGGAGCTCATCTAATTTTGTAACAAATCCACATGTTTTTGCTGTGCCATTTACAAGGTATGACCCCATTCATCCTCCATTACATTGTGTGCTGAAACTGCTGTGGGCTGATGGGTTCCCTCCAGGATACTTAGAGCTGTCATTAGTTTTGTGCATCCCTCTGAGATGAGGGTCAGCTGCAGAATGAGAGCCTGCACTGAACGCATCCAAGTCACAAGAGATGACACATTTGAAAAGTATGTGTAATGATGCCATGTTTCACCAACTAAATAGATGACATGGAAAAGACAGGTCACATGGATGCTGTTTGGCATCACCTCTCAGAACCTCCCTGTATGCTTTCAGGCAGTAGGCTGCATTGTCTGTGACCACAGCCAAGAGACATCATTGAGATCCAGTTTATTGTTGTGGAGGGATCCTAGGACTGCTTGGGCAAAAGTTGAGTAGTTGCATTGCTCCAGGAAAATTACATCCATCAGAAAGTATTGGCCTTTAAAGCCTGGAAAGACACACAAGGATGGACTTAAAAATACAGTTTTATATATATGTTTTATGTTACACAGCCTAAAGATTAATTATAATAATGCATGCAAATACTAGTACATTAAAAACATTTTACTATTTTAAATAACTACTTTGTGATCTACTTAAATYACTTACCAACAACAATGTTCAGAACACTGCAGTCTCGTGCATCAGTTGTTTCATCCACCATGACTGATATTTTTTTACCTTGCAACTTCTTCTGGACAGCTTCAATATGTTATTCAAAAACACGGGGTAGGTGGACTTGACAAAGTTCTAGCAGAGAGACCCCCCCCCGCTGACAGTGTTTCATCAAAAACGGACAAAGCTTTGTCATTTTCTCTAAAGGAATGTCAGATTCGCCACACACAGCAACAAAATCTTCGATAAACTCACACCTTGCTTCAAGTGATGTAGAAGAATGTTGAAGTGTTTGCTGGCGTGTCTGTCTCATGCTCACTTGTTTCTTCTCTTTGTTTCTGAGATGAGYCTTTGACTGTAAGTGGTCATCACACGTATTTGTATGCGTCCAGTCGATAGTATGCTGACAAAACTTACAGAAAAGTTGTTCTCCACCCAGATAGCAAACAGACTCCAGACCGGATCCGATCTGGAGGTAGCATAGGGTTTGGAATGAGTCCGCAAAATGGACCCAGATCGGAGTCCACTTGCACAGCGGAACGGGTCCGGAACAAATGTTGACAACGTGTCTGGATCAGATCTGGCCCAGACCCTATCCGGATCCGTTCATTCCCCACATCATCCGGCCCGGATCCGATTTGGATCCGTTCATAACCCACGTCATCCGGCCCGGATCCGATTTGGATCCGTTCATTCCCCACATCATCCGGCCCGGATCCGATTTGGATCCGTTCATTCCCCACRTCATCCGGCCCGGATCCGATTTGGATCCGTTCATTCCCCACRTCATCCGGCCCGGATCCGATTTGGATCCGTTCATTCCCCACRTCATCCGGCCCGGATCCGATTTGGATCCGTTCATAACCCACGTCATCCAGCCCGGATCCGATTTGGATCAGTTCATTTCCCTCATCATCCGGCCCGGATTCAATTTGGATCCATTCATAAACCATGTCATCTGGCCCGGATCCGATTTGGATTGGGTTTGGACCAAAGATAGATACAAACAAAAAGTAGCATACCAACTAGATTACTATATAAAAATCAGAAAACCTCCAGTTTAACTTTAAACACATAAAAACACTTTTATGGTGATGCTGCAAAAGTATCAATATTGGGTTCTCTTCAGCAGTAAACTAAGTTCTTAGGCTGCACTTTGTACTCAATACAGACTGCTGGTCTGTATTAAGGTAGCACAGACACCAAATTGACAAACACCACTCTAGGCGGTCAATAAGAAGGCAATTACATGAAAAATGTGATGAAAATCAATGTATTTAATAAAAAGAACAACAGTTACATGAAAAGTCAAAAGAAAAAAAAGTTCAAACACTCGTTCAAATAATACAAAAACCTTGTTCTGGGATGTTATGAGGATGTGTGGTGGTCAGCAGGTTGAACTTCCTGTGTACGTCTTCTGGAGCTGCCCCTATCTGCTGCCAGGTTGAACCATCTGATTGCATGCTTGCAAACTTCATGTTCTGTAGAAGCACGGGCGATGGCGTTCTTTCGTACAGAATCTGGAATCACAAAAGCACATTTACATTTAAATGTTCACATACCCAACACAACCACAATTTTCTATACACATATCAATAATGTCTGTTTAAAAAAAGTGCTAAGACTACAGTACATGTCAAGTATTTTTGCATTTATCACAAATACTTACTCAGGACCAATGTCTTTGATGCCATCTGGCTGAAAGACTTCTTCCCATTGACACCTTTCCAATTAATCAGCTTCCCAATGTCATCATGGAACATGTGGGCCAGGATGTTCCATGTAACACGTTTGGTGTCATGGCCCCCAGTCGCTGCCAGGGAGGAACTCTAAAATGAAACAAAGAAAAAGAATTAACAGTTGAAATTTCAACAGGTTTCGGTAACACTTTATTTGAAGGGGTGTTCATAAGACTGACATGACACTGTCATAAATATGACATAACACCTGTCATGAACATCAATGACTCCTCATGAATGTTTATGACTGTTGTCATTAAGTGTCATTCAGTAAATTATGACACTTATGTTATGTAAAATGGATTTCAAATGGAAAAAAAAACTTACCAAATTCTGCTTTAGTTGAGAATTTGCTGGATCTTTAAGCCACTCCTCCCAAATTTCCACTTCCTCCATTGATGTCAATGGAAACTGTACTGGGACAGGCATGTCGATGTCCTGGGCAGTTGGCTGAAGCCTGCTGGTAAGGTACTTCACCTGGGCAACTAGTATGTCTTGCTGGTTTTTTATATGCTCCAGTAGGCTGAGAATCTGAACGTCTGTAGCTGTTAGGAAAAATACAATTCAATCAACTTCAGTAAAACTTGGGCAACACNTATTGCAATAATTTACTCTGTATTTTGCCAGACTATGGTAATCCTGGGGTCGTGATGATGGGGCCCTTGAATATTGTTGCCCAGGGTACAGCGAAGTGTTAATCCGGCCCTGTTTATGAGTCGGTACCAAACGGTCYCTGCCAGAGGATGGTGTGAATGAAACCATTGTAGGTGAGACGAGGAGCTAAAAAAGGAGGAAAATATACGTGTGAATTGGATAAAGATAGAAAAGTTGAAGACAGTCAGCTGTGTAAGCTCGGAGCTTGTTTTGTTCAGTCTGCTGGTGTGYGTGCATGAGTGTGAGACTTTAAAACTGAGTAAAACGGAGCAGAGAAGAGCGAATGGAAAGAAATGGGACAAGTGGACCTGTCGTTGCAGGTGAATAATTATATAACATTAATATAGTTTGTGGAGATAKGTTGGTAACAATAAAAAGTATTTTTGTACTTACAAGCAATGATTAGGTACAATTTYGCATTTTAATTTTTACAACTAACACTTTCTGAAACAGCAGAAATTACAGACATTTTAACTCAACATATCTGAAACTTTGTGATTTTGTGGTTGTTTATTAAAATATCTTATTGGATTTTTACAAATGATGTTAACTTTTTATGTTTTCATGTTTGCATTGCAAGATTTAAACTCATTAAATCGGCAAAGATTGCAAAGAAATGTAAAGATATAACGCTTAAGGCACAATTTAGACAGTTTATCTGCAAACAAAAGGTTGTTTTTGGGGTTACACTAATATGAAGCAGAACTTCAGCAATAAAATGAATAAATGTGAAGATTGTAATATTTGGAGGTATTGTAGTTTTTGGGTTGTTAACCTATTCTAAATTGTCTTATTTTTGAAAAAATAAAATGAAGTGATAAGCTTTAGATAAGTCTAATTTTCTGTTCACCTTTTGAATATTTAGTTTTATCTCCATCTCATCTCATTAAGTGTTTTTGGATGTGAAAACAGAGTTTCTGTGTAGATTCTTAAAGAAAACATTGGGATTTTTATGGTGGTGTGAAGCCTGAGGAGATGTTTTTCCTTTGTCTGCGCAGACACACACACACACACACACACACACACACTTCCTCACCTTAATATCAACACATGTGAAAACAGAGTTTCTGTGTAGATTCTTAAA